TTAACAAGATATCGACAAAGGGCAACGAAGCACCTGGAATAGCGATAATGATCGCAGTTTGGAGACTATTTTGAGTGCGAACGAGTGCCAAACTCCCACGCTGGATGGCGCTCGCGTGTCAAAGAACTAAGAAATAAATCTGCTTATCATGCGTTCCGCGGTAACAAAGGATCCTTAGGATTTTATTTATAAATCAGCATATCATGAGTGGCCTTGTCTCAAATGACGGACTGTTTATTTGAATACTATGGTTGTATCTAAAAATTGTTTTGAATATGGGTTTTTGCATTTTTACGTTAAAATGTCATTCGTTTTATCACCAGTAAATTTTAGTTCATTTGTCTTTTTTCGTGTCATACAAAACCAGATCATAATATAATATACACATTTCGATGATAACACTATGATATTAGATTAGATTTCAACTTGTAACGTAATCACTACGTCAGTTATGCTGCAGGATGGAAACTTTGTTATAATAATTCCATTGAATCGACTAAAAACACGTATCGTGCGTTATTATTTTTCTCAAATATACCTTAAAATTTCCCATAAAACGAATAATATACCAGTCTGATTGCGCGACCGTGACCACTTCCATTGAACAAGTACGTGACGAATTTACAACCTATTGTTATCGACTTTTCGCACTTTAAAGATTTATGTTAAAAATAGACATACATTTAAGAAAATAAGATATCCTCGAGTGACTTCTAAGGAAGACCTTCAACTAAACAAACTTAATGTAAATGTTTTATTCTTGTTGATGTAGAGCGATTTGTCAGAGCTGTAAACTGTATCTTAGATATTTATCTACATTTGAAATAGAGCGTTTTGCTTGCTTCAGGGCCATCAATCCCTGTTTAGACCAATATAATATTTTTGGTTAAGATTCCAATAACTACGCTTTAATTATTATTAAAGAGTATCTTGTCTATTGACAAGATACTCTTTTTCAGATGTATTTCAGATTTATATGTGTACATATATGTTACCTTCTGTTCAAGTAAACAAGCGATTAGGTATATGTTATCTGATAAGGATACATATGCATATCCATAATATATAATGCATTGCAATTATGATGTTATGTAACGCTTTTGAAAGAAAATACTATTTCTTCAATAAGAGGAATATATTTACCTTATTTTAGGTAGTAAAATGTTGAAAAATAAAACTTAGTCACGCGTAATAAATTTTTTGTAAAATGGCCACATCACAAACTAAAAAGAAGCGCGGGAACTCACATCGACGTCATAGGATATGGCGAAGCACTATGGTCTATGGATCATGCCCTTTTTAGTTTTTTTACTTTTCACTGCATTTGAACAATGCGTTTCGCTGTATGTTTGCCTGTCGACTGAACGCTAGTTGGCACAGCTACAACTATACACGCTTTTGTGTTTAACACAATCAAACGCGTCACGCCTCGTCAGTAGCAATCTGTCAAACTATCGTAATACCTACGGAGTGGGATAATCGTTTTTCAGGTATAGGTATATTTTTAATTTCTAGATAAACGACTTTTTAATTAGCTAAAACACCGTCATAATGTACATAATACGGGTAAGTGAAACGATGTTTGTTCCGTAATATTACAAGGAGTGGCGTAGAATGATCGTCTTACTTTGTTATTTTTGATACTGAAATTTAATACCGACCTACTTTCATAGCTAACCTTTGCATGAAGCATTATATAAAAAAGCAACGACAGTTATTATTATACATGTTAATAATAATAGTTAAAAATAATAGTTAATATTTCCTAGCGGAAATGATTCATTTTAGAATGCAAAATACTTTAATATGGAAAGAAGATAACGCTTTTGACGTACGAGTACCTACCTTATTGTCATAATGTCCACTCTATATTCTTGAATTAATTATTTGAGTATCGTTAATAATAAAACTTGGTCCGTTCGGTTTATTCAAAAATAATATTAAAAAGCTTTAGACAGCCAGATAAATCGACTTAATTTATTTGTGATCTCTTTGTTGATTAATTATGCGTTGAACAATCATTGGCTACGACTCGCAAACAAGCCATGAAGAGTACACAATAATTAATGACCAACTCGAAAACATTTACGTATATTTTATATGTTTTTATAAAGTAGATATTTATAATTCAGGTATTTACCTGTATACTGTGGGTAAAAAGATTTTATTGACAAGATTTCGAAAAATGGATTTCTGTATTTTATAAGTACAAGTAAGTCAGAGACTAAAGAAATCCATATAGAGTAAAATTCAGAAACGAAGCTCATAGAGACTTGACAGACTATACTGTGGCCCTGTATATCAAAATCTTATACGCAAGTCTAGACTTTAAATATTAAGGTTAAATTAGCTAACCTAACCTAACTGTAAACTTTTAGCGCGAAGTCTATTCCTGTAAAAGGGAAGCGAATGCTGACAGAAGACGCAATCAGAGCAAATCGTATCGAATAAGTAGTAGGTAAAGTAGGTAGTAACCAAGACTAGGGTGATTTTATGAAATATTTTATAGATTACTAGCTGCCCCCGCGAACTACGTTTCTCCTGAATGTGATTTTACTTAGCTTACCTTTTTAGTACATACCAACATGAAACATTTTGCTATGCTACCTCGGAGACTATTTGATTTTCCGGAATGAAAACTTTTTAGGGGTTGATCGTAGAGGGGTGAAAATTAAGGGTTGTATAATATATTTTTGTATGCTGTATCATAAAACAATAAAAACAAAAAAAAATATAAACATTTAAGGGTGGACCACACTTAACAATTAGGGGTTGAAAGATATAAAGTAGCCGATTCTCAGACTTACTGAATATGCATTAAAAATTTCATAAGAATCGGTCGAGCCGTTTCGGAGGAGTATGGGAAGGAACATTGTGACACGAGAATTTTATTTATTAGATATTAATTATCTATTGTTGCATTCATGTATCACGACTCAATTGGGTGTTTGTTTAGTTATAATCATATTAAATAAATCAATACCATTCGCCTATATTACAAACTAATCGCGAATCTAAAATATAAGAAATGATGATGAGTTGACTAGAAAGTCCATCTTTATCTCCATATCTATTTTAAATTAAACACCTTATATAAAAGTGCATTTAATTATTTCAATTTAACACTACTATTTCGAAATATGTATATAAATAGGATTTTCCTCCCATACCTTAACAAACATTAATCATATTGAATGTCGTCGTTAACAACCACATTATACATAGTTACATTTTTCTCGAGGGTGTCTTCGTGAAGGCCAATAATACTCAAAAACAAAGAATACTGAAGGAACAATAACATAACGCGTCACCATTCAAGGCCTTTTTTCAACTGAATATATAAAATTTCATGTGATATTAGTATTTAGCAACGCCGACATATAAGTCTGGAGCTATTCAAGATAAGGACAGTGCGGGCACGCGATCGCCATACTGCCATCTAATTTCGTAAGTTGATAACACAGGTAAAAGATATTTGACGATTTTATTTTAATACAAAGTTTACTGTGACCTATAGAATGTAAAGATTACCTGTAGAAAACTATAAAAGCACAGTGTTTATTTATTTAGCTAGACTTTATGAGGCAGAAGACATGTTTTATGTTTTATCTAGTAATTAAATATTGTAAGTATGATACATATTGATATTTTCTAAACTGATTTAGAACTACGACGACTTGGTTATCAATAACCTACATTGTTAATTACGATTATACAAGTGCAATCTTTATTAGTTTAGGTATTATTAAAATAATACTACAATTAATGAAGGGTTTTCGTTTTCTTTTCCCCTTCTTTCCCACCTTTTAGAATTGTGCATTTAATGAATTTCTATTTGCAGTGTAGACACAATTCAGACCTGATCTAGTAGAACATCTTCCAAGTCTCCAATGAGTAAATCTTTATTATAAATTAGGTGAGTGTGCCAGAAATGCTTATGTTTACACTACGCCAGCAGCCAGCTGACAAGTTTATTGATCGGCAGACTACCCTTCGCCGAACAGATGCACCCTCAACATATGGTCTTCACAATATACTTATATCACCAAAAACGGTGTAAATTGAAAAAAATAATAATGTCCAAGATCTAATTTTGAAATTACTAAAACATTATAGCGCATTGCTGCAATCGGCATAAAGGACGTAAATAATTAATATCAATTTTATCAAATAATTCTATGCACTTAAATCAAAACGATTATTAATTGACGAAAACCACGTTTTTCTATTTCAAGAAGCACCAAATACCTACAATAGGAATAATGACTTACCTATTCGTTTATTAAGATGAGGTGTGCCCCTACTGTGTTCCTCCTCGTCTACGTCGACATCAAAGGAGAATGGAAAGCTTTTCGTCGAACCGACGAAGCCCGCTGCCATGGCAACAATTATTTCTCAATAAACCATCCGACACAACCTCTTCGACGCTGGCAAATGCGACACTGCCGTACGTGCCGTGAAACTGGAAGGATATGCTATCTTTACGATTTAATTCCAGCAACGTCACGTTGACTCAATAATTGCTCATTGAATTTTAAAGTGCTTCTCAATTTAATTGTTATTTTTGTACTCAGTTAATTCATTTAGTTGTATTCAATTAATGTCTACGATTGAAACAAATTGTTTTAATTAAGGAAATGTCGTAATACGCTCAAAAATTATACTTTAAACCCAATGTATTTCAAAAGGTATGCATAGAAAAATTGACTATGAATTTTGCCTGATCCTTAGAATCTTTCAATTGGTTAAAATTAGTATTTGCTGCAATTTTCTTTCAGGCGATTTTTTTACTACACAGAGCCGACTAAAAATATGTACTGAATTAATGTGAGACCAAATTTGCCTTAATGATTTATTTGGAACCAAAGAAACAGTAAAATCTTTAAGAACACTATAACATGGTAATGTTTCAACATCAATAAGAATAAAAGGCACGTATTTAATTTATCATTTATTACCTAACACGGCAGCTTATTTACCATTCAATACAACAAGTTAGTTTACTTCTTAGCGGGGGCTTGTTCATTAATTGAGTCCAATTTGGGATCTTCAAATTTAAAAGAAGGGAATGCTGTCATGTCCACACCAGATCCTCCACCGAATTGCTTTTCTAGCTTTTCCAATTCATTCTTCAACTCCTTTTCAACTGTAGGACTGGGATCTACTAGCTTACCACCTCTAAAATAAAGTGTCTATATCAGAATTTAGCATAATTATAATAGATACCCTATAAATTATCTTCTTTTATTATGAAATAAATATAGATGTGAGCAGAATACTAGCATTACTTTATAAGTTGTTTTTATCTAGATCCCTAAAATTTACAATATGGGAAAAGACATTTAAAACTGGTTCAATATTCATGATCCATGAATATTTTTGTTTGTTTATAGAATACATAGATACATTGATAAAACATGTATGGAGCTTGGATAAAGAAAGAGAAGAGAGCTTGGATAAATCACAGCACAGCTCTGTTTTGTAGAAAATCTAATAAGGTAATAATTTACTTGAGGCCTTTTAAAATAAAATCTAACCTATTCCTACTCATACAAATAATACAAATTTGAACAACCGCATGAATTGGTGCTTTGGAATATATGACCATGCATAATGCAATGGTTGGTTTTAAACACTTGATGTAAGAATTACTAAAAGATAAATAGGTGGTGGTTAAATGCACATTGCTTCCTCATATTTCATATAATAAAAATTAAGGCAACTTACGCGCTTTTCTGTTTGTATTCCCTAATTTTGTCTAAAAAGAGCTGTTGAATGGGATCTGTAGCTTTTGAGGTTGCTGCCAAGTTCCTTGTGACCACGACCGAGGCCCGGGCAACTCGGAGGCTGCCGAGTAGTGAAGATGTGATCATCTGAAACCAATATTTCTAACCTTCAACGAACGTTACATAACTAGTACATATTCACTTTTTATCAAGATATTATACAATACAAGTAACTAAAATTAACGGTAATTTTGGTAAACTAAGTTTTTCCATCATTATTTAAACATTTTACTGAATTGCCACACCTTTTCGCTGCAAGTTATAGGAAAACTGCTAGAAACTTAGAAAATCCTCAGGGGAAACTAATAAAATTTCCCTGTTCTTAGTTGTGCCACAGCCATCTAATAATAAAGAGCTTAGAGCAGCGCATTAGTATACCAGTGACAATTGACATTGACACATGACTTGGGAACATTACAGAGCCTTGCCCTTGAATGAGATAACAATATACATTTTTATAACCCAATCTCACTTTCACTAGACTATAATTATTTTAACGACTTGTCTACCTTAAAGACGTGGATTCGCATAAATAAAAAAAAACATTAAGTATTAAACTATATTAAGCAATTCCAAAAATTATTACTACATATTTGATCACAGTGCTTTTGTCGCAGTCTATGCTAACTAATATCTAATCTGTGGTCTATGCTGACAGACTCATCTGTGTGTATGTCTGTGGTCAGAATGTATATTTTCCCGCGCAATTAATTTTTCTATGTCTATTTTCCAAATAATTTCCCTAAAATATATTCTCAGTAATATATAGTACTAATTTATAAAAAATGGATATTAATATCATTGCTAAACTGAGAAATCGTCAAAATATTAATGAAGACAACAAACACGTACAAGACAAACTTTCCAAGTTATCATCAGATGCAATAAAGCTAAAGGTAAGGTTTAAAGGTTGCACGCTTAAAGATGAACTGCCCAAATACGGAATAACAAAATATATAATTCTCATAGGTAGCACAAGATGCCATTAATTGGGATCTACGTCAGAAGTTGCAGCAGACTGAAGGCAATCATGAGCGTCTGCAGCAAAATATGGTGGACCTTCAAATGCAGTATGAAACCGTATCCGGTCAATACCAGGAGGAATTACGTAAAAGACCTGAAATTTTAAACAAGTGAGATTTTATGGAATTTTTTTTTGGTTTAATTTAATTTTGTGGAAATCGCATTTAAAGATGTTGATTTGTGTTTCGGCTTGTTTTTGGAATAAAATGCTCTTTATTAAAGTCATGATTATGAAACTTTATAGATTTGTTATTTGATAAGGTCTATAGGAAGCTTAAAATTATATAATTTACTATTGATTAAAAAAATTATTTATGTTAGGCCCGTATAGTACAAAAATTATGTAATATACAGAGTCTGTCAAGAATAATTACTTGTAACGACTGCAGTTTTGGCAATATAGGCATATATTAGAATCAAACACGAATAGTTCGTTAGAATTCTAAACGGTTACAACCGTTTAGAATTCTACATCGTTACAACGAGATCTGTGTTTTTGTTATACAAGGGTACAAATACGATTTGCGCAACTGTTGAACAGTCAAAGTCCTTTAATTATGGACACTTTACTAATAAGTAACTTTTTGGAGAGAGTTATTATTGTCCCTTTTATTTCTTTCTCATCGCTAACCGCTAGATTTCATTTTGTGCCCTCAGCATTTAAAATCTCACTTTACCAAAAACGTTAGTTAAAGGAGCGAATCAATGCTATTTGTTCAGAATATAGTATTAACTATTAATTATTCTTTATGTGGGTTGCTATAACCAGTCACTAAAACGACAACCGTTTTTTTTAAATTTTCATTAAACTAAATAAAACCTTGCAAAATTATTTAATAATATTAAAATAGCACTAACATATAACTTGAAACTATATCTATCTTCCACAATCCAGGCTCAGTAGCACCCGAGAGATTTGCGATGTACTAGAAGACTACAGCTTGCGTCTCCAACAGACGCTATCGCGATGTAAGGCTGATCAGAAATCTCTTTGCGAGGCTTATCAGTCTTCAGGACAGCTCGTCCAGGACCTTAAGACGTCTCATCAGCAGGTCCAAGAGAGGGACCGTCAAACTATAGCCAGACTTCAGGAGATGGGTATGACATCGCACCTAAGAATATTGGGATTGTGCATTTTTTTTATAGCATAGGAGGCATATGTGCCGGATGCGTTGCCGGCCTTCGAGGAAAAAGTTTACTCTTTATTTATACAATTGGGGGTCGTATCTCCCACGGAAGACTCCCACCGGGAGGATATTTCACAATTCGCTAGTTCGCAAAAGAAATTATCTTGTAAAATCATCAAGGTGATGAATTTTGAGTTAATACAGCTCGTACGGTGATGAAACGAGGGAGGAGGGACCAAACTACTCTTCCATAGTACACTAGTAGAATACATTATTAAATAAACCTAGATAAAATGAGTCCTGGATCTCTCATTGATCACAACTGCGCACAAAAAGTTATGTAAATAAATAGCGTTTATATTAAAGTAGTATTATTTAAATGTTTAGTAGTCGAATAAAGGAAAGACAATTCTATCCACATTTCAAGTATCAATTTAATTACTTTTAACAAAAATGTGAGTAATATATAGTTCTGTGTTTTTAAATCTCAAGTAAAACTTCGCGAAGAACATCAAGCGAGCCTGATGGATCTTTTCAACTCGTCGAAGCAACAGCTCGATGGCGAATTAAGCAAAGCTCGCGAACAGCTTACAGCCTCGCTCGCCGCTAAGGCAGAGCTACAAATTTCGCTCAACGAGCAAATTAACAAGCTTGCATATGCCAATTCACAGTTAGAAAAGGTAAGTAATAATAATAAATTCATGCGAAAACACTTTTAAAGGATTGTTGTGTATCTGTAGTTAATAGTTAAACAATGCACACATTTATTGATACGAAAAAATAATTTTACTCGGGTAATCTAAAACACTTAACTTCTAATCTTGAAACTCTTTTATTTCAGATACTTTAGATTTAAATGACTTTATATTTCTATCATCTCGTTATTTCTAGAGACCAGTGAGCCTTTTTTGGTAAGGGCCTCCTCCAATTCCCGCCATATCTGTCTGCGCTGTGCGACTGGTATATCTACCTTCTAAATTGTCTTCCTCTTTTGCGGTTATTGTACCTTGGGCTCCAGTTTAATACTTTGTTGCTTCACTTGTCTGTCTCCTGTGAATCCTCTTGCCATGTGCCTCGCCCATTTCCACTTATGTTTATTAATTTTTATTGTAACATCAGCTACCGTAGTTATTCTTCTTAATGATGTACTCTTTATTATAGCAAATCTTCAATTCTCTATCATACATCGTTCTATAGATCTTTGACACACCTGTAACTTTGTACGCTGGGCTTTAGTGGGCGCCCAAGTTTAAGATTCATATACAGGTAGAATACAAGTATTGAAGAGCTTTCTTTCAATTACCATGCTCGTTCTTATTTTCCATTACTTCTTCTCTAAGCGCCTAAAAGCTCTTCCATGCATTATCTTTTCTATAACACTTTTGTTTAACCAACTTGTATACAACTAATAAATGGGTTTATATAATAAATTACATACGAAAGGATCGTAAATTATTTGAAAGCATTGTTAGTTTAAATGTTTTTACAGAAAGAAGAGGATATAACAACTCTCAAACGAGAGATGACGAAGATGGTGAATGAGTTTAATAGTGAAATCGAAGGAGCTAGAATTACCTTGGACTTACATGAGAAAAAGTATTATTTTTTTTATTACTTAAGATAACGATTCATGTATATTTAAGAATTCACAATTTCACAAATAGGTTTTCGGGTTCGATTCCCGGGTAAAAACAATACTTATTCCTAGTGGGAGTGCCATGCTGTTGCCTTCGGGCTTCAGCCAAATGGGCAGGCACGACCGGGGCAGTACCATGTCTCTCAGAAAACCCTAAGTGATGCAAAAGGTTGCCTTCTTGTACTCGCGTTTCGTGCGGTGAGAGAATTCCGGAGCCCATCCCCCCCACACACAAGAAATATGAAGTGCAGAAAAACAGAATCTACCCCAGGGGGTACCACACGCTCGCGGTGGAGAATCCCCTCTGGGCGTCCACCACCGGGACACTCAGCACCCGGTGGTGGACGCACAGGCTGCCCTTCGTATTCTGGGGGGGCAATTCTGCGCTCTACAAAAATAGTAATCGTCCTCGGGGCAAACGGAGGCAATTATACAAAGGCACCCCCGTCCACACTCGCCGTGGACTTCACAAATGTTAGGGGCTTAATTCTAACATCAACGCTGTCCACTATCATCTAGAGACTGCGAAGCCGGCCTTGCTCTTTCTTACCGAGACTCAGATATCCTCCCCGGCTGATACTTCCCACCTATCCTACCCGGGGTACAAATTGAACATTCATTTGTGCCGCGGGCTGGAGTTTGCGTGTACGTCAGAGAGGATATCTGTTCTCGTCGCCTCGGGACGCTTGAAGGAAGGGACCTATCTAACCTCTGGCTGCGCGTAGACTGCGATGACCATCCGCGATTCTACGCATGCCTGTATAGGTCCCATAGCGGAAATACCGAAACTGACCGACTCATTGAGCACATCCAAATGGCTACAGATTCCCTGCTCGAAAGGGTTCCTACCGCTGAAATCGTGATACTTGGCGATTTTAACGCCCACCATGCCGATTGGCTCGGCTCTGAAACCACCGATCACGCGGGAAGATCCTTTCACGACTTTGCTTTAGCCTACGACCTGACACAAATGGTCCCTGCGATTACGCGAATACCAGATGTGGATGTCATAAACCCTCTTTGTTGACCTTCTGCTGACTTCTCATCCGGAGAACTATCAAGTCTCTGTTGACCCGCCATTGGGTTCATCAGATCATTGTGTGGTCCGGAGTACTGTGCCATCTACGCGCCCTTCACGGCCCCGCTTTATGGGTTGTCGCCGTATTTGGCACTATAAGTCAGCAGATTGGGACGGATGCGGTCTTTCTTTGGTCCTACCCTTGGGGCCTATGTGCTTTTCGCCGGAAGCTCCAGATTCCGTCGCCGCCTCTGTCGCCGAAGTGGTTCTGCAGGGCATGGAACTCTTTATTCCATTTTCTGCGTGCCGATCGGTGCAAGTCTCAGCCCTGGTTTAAACGTTCTTGCAAGGCGGCCTCGCGTCGAAAGCGAGAATGCTTTAAGGCATGGGCGGAAGCGGCGAAATCTCGTGATGCCAATACCAGCGAACTTAAAAAGCATATAACTCAGCCTCCAGGTCCTTCAAACGGGAAATCACTAAGGCAAAGTCAGAGCAATTGCCAGATTTGGCGAGAGATTGGCCCAACTCCATCAGGGACTCGAGCCTTCTGTCTCTCGCCAAACCTGTCCAAGGAATTTTTGTCAGCCCGCCATTCCGCCACTGCACAGGGAGGATGACTCTCTGGCCCACACTGCGAAGGAGAAGGCTGACCTTTTGGGCTGTCTCTTCGGTCTAACTCGACTTTGATGACCGAGGGAGATCACCACCGACCATTTCGCGGTGTGATTCTTCGATGCCGGAAATCACATTCCGGCAACGTGCTGTCCGCAAAGCACACTTCCTTGGACATTCATAAGTCGAGCGGGCCGATGGTATCCCCCAATTGTCTGCGTACTTGTGCTCCTGAGTTGGCTCCGGTCTTAACGCCCTTTTCCGGTACCTGTACTCGCTCGGCACTGTCCCGAAGTCTGGAAGACCGCTTTGATACATCCGATCCCTAAAAAGGCGATCGCTCTGATCCGTCCAACTATCGCCCAATAGCTATAACCTCCTTGTTCTCCAAAATAATGGAATCCATTGTTAATTGCCAGCTCTTAGGTATCTGAGACACTATTAGCGATTATCAGTACGGCTTTCGTCGTGTCGTTCGCTGGTGACCTTCTTGTATACCTTAATAGATGGCAGAGGCAATTGATCCAAGGGGAGGCGTAGCGGTTATTTGGACATAGCGAAACCTTCGATCGGTGTGGCACAGAGCACTCTCTGAAGCTTCCAGCCTATGGCTTCCGAGAAATTACAATTGATCTCCAGCTTTCTGGCCGATCGGACATCAGTCGTCATGACGGAGCATGTTCCGACCTAAAACCCGTAAACCTGGGTCCCACAGGCTGTGTTCTATCCCGACCCTATTTCTTCTGCATATCAATGATATTTGAAACTTAGCAACATTCATTGCTATGCGGATGACAGTACTGGGGATACTTTTTACACTGGCCGGGCAGGTATTTCTGGCAGTTGTTGATGAGTACCGGAACAAACTTGTGTCTGAAGTTGAAACTTACTTCGTGGAGTCTCAGATTGGGGCAGACAAAACCTAGTCCAATTTAACCCCAAGAAGACACAAGTTTGCGCGTTTTCCGCTAAAAAACACCCTTTGTCGCTACTCCTCTTTTCGAAAACACTCTTCTTAAAGCCACAGCCAGCATTGGAATACTTGGCGTTGACATATCGAGCGACGTTCAGTTTCGCGGTCACTTGGAGGGAAAGGCTAAATTAGCCTCCAAAAAGCTTGGTGTGCTCAGTAAGGGAGACGGTACTTCACTCCGGGCCACCGCATGCAACTATATAAAGCGCAAATTCGCCCCACATGGAGTACTGCTCTCACCTCTGGGCGGGGGCTCCCCAGTACCAGCTCCTTCCACTTGACCGTATACAACGCAGAGCGGTTCGAATCGTTGACGACCAATCCCTCTCCGAGCGGCTTGATCCTTTGGCGTTGCGTAGAGATGTGGGGTCACTCTGCATCTTCTACCGCATTTACCATGGAGAGTGTTCAGAGGAGTTGTTCGATTAATACCTGCAGCTGATTTCATATGGACGTCGAGGCAGAATACGAAATTCCACCCGTATCACCTCGACGTCCGACGTTCCAAACTGAGCGTTTCTCAAGGCAGTTTTTGCCGCGCACCACCACTATGTGGAACCAGCTGCCCACTGAAGTATTCCGAACCAATTCGACTTAGGTCCTTCAAGAAAAGAGGTACCAATTCTTAAAAGGCCGGCAACGCACTCGCGAGCCCTCTGATTGAGAGTTCCATGGGCGGTATATTAATGTGAGCCTCCTGCGTTTGCCCCGTTCTATAAAAAAAAAAAAAAAAAAAACACAATACTTAATTTATAAAAACAACTAGCGCGGTAAACCTCTTTGTCGCAAAATAATCAATAGCATATATTTATTTAACTATTTAGCCTTAAAAAAGCAAACGAAGAAATATCGAACCTGAAGAAAGCTCTTCATAATCAAGAAGATTTCTGTAAATCCATTTCCGAGGAAAAGAATTTGTTTGAAGAAAAAGTAGCAGTCTTAGAAGAAGATAAAATGAGCGCTTTTGAAGAAATCGAAAAGCTTAAAAAGGATTTAGAGGTGAGTACTTTAACAATCAGGCATAATTATTATATTTGTCCCAATTATTTTTTATTAAACTTACTTCCTTATACAACATGTTGTTCTACTGATCTATTTCAAATTATTATTATGAAGGTTAAAGCTACAACATAACACTCACTTATAAGAACTTTGTCTTAAAAATACAAAAGGCGCAGACGCAGAATTTAATCTGCTCTATTGACAGGTTATTACAGAATTCTAATATTACATAATAAAATAATTCAACTTATTCAATATATTTAATAAAAGGAATCCTGTGCATCTCACGACATCTCCAAACACGAAATATCAAATCTAAATAAGAAGACTGAGATGATGAAGATTGAACTAGAAGAAAAGGAGGAGGTGGGTAGACTTCGGCATTTATTCATATAATTTAAAATTTCTCTTTCTATATGCTTTAAAAGACTCTTTCTTTTGTGAACTAGCGAAGTCTTGTTCATATTTATACAAATCTAAAACTTTAGATTTCCGAAACTTAGAGGGAGGGAAAAAGGAAGATATGTTAGGAATTTACTGGTCATTAAAATATTAAAAGTGTCGAAAATTAATACAAATTATAATTTTTTTTTTTAATTTATTTCATCGATAATAAAAACAAGTGGCATTTTAATTTACAATTCGTCATTTGAGATTTCAATAAATTATTTTGCATAAAATATAAAATACTAATATTTCTTAAATTCTCTTTACGAAATTTTTTATAAATAGAATTTCTATAAGGTATTCGCCCTTCTTACTCTCTCTCAATCGGGCTCTTCCTTTTCTTCGATAAAAACGCTGCAAATCTTCGTGACGTTTCATCCGTAAAAATTTTACCCACATGCGCTTAAAGAAGTTTCACTTCAAAAATAATACCTATTTGTTGAGTGTTTCGAATTAAAACGTGTCTACATTTGTCTACATGAGATTTTTTTAATATATTGCTAACGAGATTCACAACTTACTTTGAATCTCTTCGTTTTTGTGCGAAGTAACTTTATTTAATTTTCAGATTGTGAACCAGTTTAAAGTAGAAGTAGAACGTTTGAAGGATCAAATAAAAGGACTGGAAGACGATAAGAAGAGTTTGACTGAAAAATTGGGAGAAAAGGCAGGCGAAAACGACTTCCTCTCCACTCGTGTTCAAGAATTGATTACCGAAGTGACCACTTTGCAGCTTAACGTTGAGGACACTCGCAAGGAATACGATAATGACAGGTCTTGGATTTTACAACCAATTATCATACTTTGTTATTAAGTCGGAGTCGATGTTTTATCAACTAACAACCTTTCCAAAAACATCTTACTAATTTTGAAACTTTTTTACTTGTAAAATGCAAAGTCCTTAAAGAGTTAAAACACCTTTTTATTGGCAGTTTTGGTAAATTTGTTGATAATTTATTAAAAAATATACAAATACTTTTTTATGACGAAATTCCGTTTGATCGACTTCTTTTACAAATGGTTTTATATCTGGGTATGAAAACCCACTCAACCAACATAGATTTGAATATTTGAAAATATTTGCAACAGGAAATCCACGGACCTGATAATCGAAGAGCTTAACGAAACAATAACATGTCAAAAGGAAGAGTTAGAAAAGAAAGCGTCCACTGCGGCCAAATTAATGACGGAACTTCAAAACAGCAATGACGCGATAAATAAGATCCGAAGCGCCTTGCAGAAGAGTAGGAAGGAGATGGATGATGAAAAAGAGCACTTTAAAGAAACTCAAGTGAAAATGGGCGTCAGGATTGAACATCTCGAGGGAAAACTCAAAGTAAATCAATCTTTCCTATCTATGAATTTGAATTGGGGACCTTCATTGCACTAACTAGGGTTTCAAGTGCAACAACGATGTGCAAAATCAGAGTGTAAACAATGGCCGGCAACGCACTCGCGACCCCTCTGGCATTGAGTGTCCATGGGTATCACTTAACATCAGATAAGCCTCTTGCCGTTTGCCCCCAGTTCTATAAGTCACGTCTTGGAGTCTTAGTGAAAATATAGTTATTTCTGGTTTGATGTTTTACATTTAAAAAAAATTAAGTTACTAATTATATATCAATTCAGCTTCGGGATCGCAATCTCGAGTCAAGACCGTTAATTCGAGATCTCCGAATCCTAGACATTTGTGAGGAGTGACTTTGGAATAACTTCTCGAGAAGCTTAGTGTACCGAGAGGGCTGTCTGATAAGCGACATCTTATGTCAGTCACAATGTACTCAGCAGCTGAAAATGCCCTCTCAGACTCAACACTAGTTGGCTCCAGCGTTATAAGCGAAGTGTAAAACTCATAAAGATTCATCTCTTTTTATAACTGACTCTAAGCTGAAACACGTGAAGGACTCTAAGTTGCTCTCACAGTCTCTTCTTATTCCTCTTGAAGAGTCGGGTTTGTCTTTATAGGAGCAACACGTCCTCTGCAATCATTGATAAAAGCATTTATCTTAGTTTTCTGTTGCGGTGTTTATCTCGTCAAAGCAGTGGAGACGTTTAATATAGACTGACGATATAATCGTTTGATTATATTTTCCCGGTCTTTTCCTGCGTCATCCTAAGCATTTACGGGAAAGTCGCGGAAGCCGTTATTATTCAGTGTGAAAAAAACCTTATTATTTTCAGGACAGTGAAAAGGATACGTCCATGAAAATGAACCTTATTCAGGAATTGAAACAGGATAAGGTAAATTAAAGAACCAGAAAAATTCTCCTCATATTTGTTAAACATATGTATACATTTACTAATTACTAATTATGAATAAATAGGAGCGTCTCCTGAGTAAGATGAGTGAAATGGAGGAGACGATTGCCAATGCTCGGGACCAACTGTCTGCTCCGAACAGGCCTCGGCCCTTCCTACAGGCCGAATCTGACAACGCGGTCACGATGCCGATTCTTCAAGAGGTAACAAAAATCTTATTAAAC